AGTATATGAGAGATAAGCAAGCGGTATCTCAAATTGAGATATGAAATAATATCCCGTCAAAATATCAATCAAAAGGGATTTTATAGACAGCTGCCATCCTCATAAATTCGATAAACTCGAAAGATGGGGCATTTTTTTGACATGGAACAAAAAGCTATTACGTAGTCAGCTTTGGACATGCTCACTAAGCATCTCCTTCACTATCTCCTTAATCCACTTCCTCAATCTTTGGACCTGCGTTCCCCTCTGGAGCCTTGTCTCCTTTTGGACCATTCGCAGCTCTACCCATACCTCCCATACCAGTTCCAGCTTCTGCAGCATACATCTTCTGCATGATAGGATTTGCCACACCCTCTAGCTCCTGCTGCTTAGCATCAAACTCCCCTTTTTCTGCCGCTTGGTTTGCCTCCAGCCACTGCAGCGTTTCAGCCACTTTACCATCAATCAGCTTTCGATCTTCTGCACTAATTTTCGCAACCACTTTTTCATCATTAATTGAGCTACGAAGAGAAAATGCGAAATTTTCTAGCGAATTCTTTGACTCGATGCGCAGCTTATTGCGTTCATCTTGATCTTTATATTTATCGGCATCAGCAACCATTCGGTCGATTTCTGACTGAGATAATCGTCCCTTGTCATTCGTTATCGTAATCTTATTTTCTTTTCCTGTTGACTTTTCCACGGCCGACACATTTAAAATTCCATTCACATCAACGTCAAATGTGACGTCAATTTGAGGCACACCGCGCGGCATAGGCGGAATACCATCCAGACTGAATTTGCCCAGTAAATGATTGTCACGTGTCATAGTCCGTTCGCCTTCAAACACTTGAATCAACACGCCAGACTGGTTATCAGTATATGTTGAGAACGATTGCATCTTCTTTGCCGGGACTGTCGTGTTGCGAGGAATGAGCTTGGTCATAACTCCACCAGCAGTTTCTAGTCCAAGAGACAAAGGCGCCACGTCTAATAGCAAAAGGTCTTGCAATTTCGCAGAAGACTCACTTCCACTTAAAATTGCCGCCTGCACTGTAGCACCATACGCTACAGCCTCATCTGGGTTGATCGATTTAAACAGATCCTTGCCGTTAAAAAAGTCCATCAGCATTTGCTGCACCTTTGGAATTCGCGTTGAACCTCCTACAAGAACAATTTCATTCACCTGACTTTTGGACAGCTTGGAATCTCGTAGTACTTGAGCCACGGGATCCATGGTCTTCCGAAAGTACTCAGCACAAAGATCTTCAAAACGCGCTCGTGTAATGGTCGAGTTAAAATCGATGCCGTCAAATAACGAATCAATTTCGAGGTACGCCTGGGCTGACGTAGACAACGTCCGCTTTGCGCGCTCGCATGCCGTACGAAGACGACGTAAAGCACGTTGATTGACCGACAAATCCTTTCGATGTTTGCGCTTAAATTCCGCAACAAAATACTCAACTAATCGATTGTCAAAATCTTCTCCTCCTAAGTGGGTGTCACCGGCAGTTGCCATGACTTCAAAGATACCTTCTTCAATAGTCAAAAGTGAAACGTCAAACGTTCCACCTCCGAGATCAAAAATCAACACATGGTGCTCGCCTCCTTTCTTGTCCAGTCCATACGCGATTGCCGCAGCAGTTGGTTCATTGATAATTCGAAGCACATTCAAACCAGCAATTGCACCCGCATCTTTGGTTGCCTGACGTTGCGAATCATTAAAATATGCTGGAACCGTCACAACTGCATTTCTCACTTGTTTACCGATAAATGCTTCGGCAATCTCACGCATCTTAATGAGCACCATCGATGAAATCTCCTCAGGCTGAAAAGTTTTTGATTCGCCTTTGAATTGCACCACCACTTGAGGCTTGTTTTCAGGACCACAAACGACTTTGAACGGCCAGTGCTTGATATCCGATTGTACCTCGGAATCGGCAAACTTGCGACCAATCAACCGTTTGACGTCGAATACCGTGTTGTGTGCATTCATTGCCACCTGATTCTTGGCAGCATCTCCAATTAGACGTTCAGTATCGGTAAATGCTACGTATGACGGAGTGGTACGATTGCCCTGGTCGTTAGCTATGATCTCCACTCGGTCGTTTTGCCACACACCCACGCACGAGTACGTCGTACCCAAATCGATACCCACACTCTGCCCCGTTATAGGCTCGGACATCGTGTCTCGTATGATAAACTCTGCTTTTCTGATCAACTTCAAAAGTGGCATCTTCACCACGACATTTTCAGCCCATTCCTGGTCCCAAGTGTTGATAATCTCAACTGGCAAACGACGAATTTTTTTAAGAGTTTCATCCGACGGTTGTGCCAAGTGGCGACCTGTCCCGTCTTGTCGCTTTAGATTTTGTGGCCTCGATGGCAAAGTCACGTCGTACATCGTATGCTGTCACGAGTGCGGCGCTGCCCATATTAAAAACGTTGGGACTTGAAGAAGTTGATCCGGAGGATGTTTTCGAGCTTCAACGCAAAGAAGGGGCCGGCGCATTCGGACGCGTCTTTCAAGCTTGTTATAAAAACGACCGCACACGACTCGCGGCTCTTAAAGTCATTCCTGTTGCGCTAGAGGCAGGCGAACGGGGTGAAGATATTGAAAATGTGCGACGTGAAATTCAATTCTTACGTGAATGCAACCACCCAAATGTTGTCGCATTCCATGGTGCATACTATAAGGACGGAGCGTTATGGGTTGCAATGGAGTATTGCGCCGGTGGCTCTGTCGGGGATGTCCGTCGAGCTCGCTTGTTCAGTGAGCAGGAAATCTCCGTCATCATGCGAGGAGCACTTTGTGGCTTGGCATACTTGCATTCGCGTCGTAAAATCCATCGTGACGTTAAAGGAGGGAATATTTTACTCACGGATTCGGGTCAAGTCAAGATTGCGGATTTTGGAGTGTCAGCTCAATTACGAGATACGCTTTCTCGACGAGGTTCGTTTGTAGGCACGCCATACTGGATGAGTCCAGAGCTTATACAAGATAGTAATTATGACTCGAAGGCAGATATTTGGTCCTTGGGGATCACAGCGATCGAATTGGCAGATCAAAAGCCACCACTTTACGACGAACATCCGATGCGCGTGCTTATTCAAATCCCACGCAACCCACCGCCGCAAGTTGCACAACCAGAGAAATGGTCGACTGCATTCTTAGATTTTCTGCGCTTTTGTTTACGAAAAGACCCTGCGGAGCGTCCTACAGCGGTTGAGTGCATGCAGCACGAATTTATACGGCGTCAGCTGCACGTCGGACGTGTGTTTGCCAGGGGGGATGCGGTGGATAAGAAGACGGTGAATAGACAGACAATTGAGGAAGAATTTGAAGAGGAGATAGCCGAGGAAGTTGGTGCATACGATAATGCGAGTGAGAACATGGAAGATAAAGGAGAATCAGCCGGACTTATTAAAGACACTTCTGAGTTAAAAAAAGCTGACATGCGTATCGCCCTACAAGTCAGCTATCCCAAAAAGGGAGACGAAGTGGCGGATCCTTCGACAAATGAATCAGTCGCTCTTGAAAAGGATCTGCCAGCATTCAGTCAGGTAGACAATAAACAAAGTCATGAAAGAGTGACGCCCAGTAAGGTACAGAACACGCTGAATACGCCGAGTTGTCGTCAACCCCCTACCGAGCTTAAACTGTTTCCATCTCCTGTGAAATCCCCAATGAACCAGAGTCGAATTACCTCAACTCGTTTTGCAAAATTGGATGAAACATCAAAAAAATGTGGCAGTGATGTGTCCGACGCATATACAGCTTCAGACCCAATAAAGCCGCCAGTCTTGTTTCACCCAAAGACATCAATATCACCACCAGTCTCTCCTTCGGTTCACTCTTCTTGGCTTTCAAAATCATCGTTGTCGGATGACCCACTCGCAAGCATTGACACTATTACAAGCACTCGTATGAATCGACTTCTATCATCCTTGTCAACGTCTACTCCTACATTAAATCTGGCAGCTGCCTTCCAAGAAAACAATGTCCAACTCGTTGCAAAGGTATCGTCTCGAAGTGCTGCGCAACGGCAAAGCTTCAGCTGGCGATCAGTGGAGGCAGCACTTCCAGCTGGCAGTGCCTCTATTCGCACAGACTCCACCCGGCCGAGCGGCAAGATCTTTGTTGGCGATCCGGTACAGGCTTCACACGACGTTTGTGTAAGGTTTAATTCAATTCAAGCTCAATACGAGGGCGCACCATTGTCTGCTGAGTGGAGAGCACTACATCAGCAGTTTGGTATCGCGTTGGTCCACATGCGCTGTCGGAGTTCAACATCACACGTAGAAGATCTCGTACCTGCACTAATTCGGATGTTGCGTCGAGAGCTCATTCGTCATGGTGGTCTTAGATTCGCATTTATTTACAGAGTGTCACCACTTCAAGAAGATGTGCAGAGTGCAAAAGCAGCAATTAATTGTGGCTCTTTAACACCAGCTCATGTATCAGACCCTCACGTTTGCGCAAGCCTTTTAAAATTGTGGTTACGTGAGCTACCAACACTATTGCTCGATAGGTTGGACGTCCAAGATCTGACTGATCTCACCAATTTAACAGGATCAGGTAACATGGACGACGACGATGATCTGCAGCTAATCACAACCAGAAATATCGACATCGTCGACGCTCAGATCACACGCACACTGCAAAAGCTTGAGCCACGGGAGTATGCAGTTTTGCAATGGCTTCTTGAGCACCTACTCGAAGTGAATGAATATCGTGCGCTCAATCAAATGACAACGCAAGCTCTAGCCACTGTTATAGCTCCTAATCTCTATTCGTGTGCGGGAAAGGCTAAAAAAACGCACGAAAATGCAGGGAACTTGATAAAACAGGTCGTGCTCTTTGTTCGCGTCTTGCTATCATGGCGTCGCGGAAGTCCGCTCACGTTATTGTACGAGCAAGAGGAGGAAAATTTGGCAGCAGCTTTTACATCTAAATCTCCGGCAAATGACACCAACTCATCAAAGTTGCAGCAACGAGATCGTCATTCTGAAAAAGAAAATACCACTAAAGTCAAAGCTGACCCGGAGGTGGATAACGACTTTGTTTCACTAGAAACCGCACTTCGCGCACACGTCAATCGCCTTTGGTCTGACGTGGAGAAGAGCGATATCACTACTGTCAACACGAAACGTCAAGAGCATGTGCTGCGTGTCGTCTTTAACGAATTTCAAGAATCCACACTTAATCTCATTGCTCGGCACACAAAACGACAAGAAGAACGCACTTGGGCACTTCATCTGCTTGACACACGGAAGACTGGTCAGCAATTGGAAACGACAGGTTTGTCGTCCTTGAAGAGGATGAAAGACTGGGTGGACGCTGCACTGTCGTTCGAAGCATTCTGTCGACTTCTTGATCGAGAGCAAACGACACAGGAAAAAATAGATCGCCTGCAGGCGAAACTTGGATTTTCACCTAGTTGTCTGAGCCGAGAGTCAACTACGTTCAGTCGAAATGTTTTTGATAATCTTTCGAGACTGCACGACAAACACCTGTTTGCAAAATACATGTCATGCGACAAAGAGGTACCCACCCCAAATCACGACAAATATGTCAGCAATAGTCTACATAATGGCGTAGTACGGCTGCTTAGTAGACGTGCTGATCATCATAATACTGTAGCGTCTTTAGAAGATCAAAATTTAGCAAAGATAGGTGAGAGCCATCCTGCAATCGGTAATCTTCTGGTTCTGCTTGGTGAGAGCAAGCTAAAATGGGACACCGAGTCTATGCTGGCTTGAAGAGTAGCTCATGATTATGGTGAATGACATGTTTTGAAAGAACACAAACATATTCTACAAACGTACTTTTACTTGCATCAAGAGCGAACGAGCATCGCTTGCAATCGCCGCAAAACATCAATTTAATTACTTTGATGCTTGTTAAGTCGGGAAATCACATACGCTGAAGAGCTGAATCGTCGAGGTTGCTTGTTCAGCCGACCATTTTATATGAGAAGAAATAATTTGAATTCTTCCTCTTGAATGATTTATTACGAAAGTATCTATCGAAGTGTGCACCCATAGAACCAGGAAACAATCATAAAAAATCTTTTGCTCTCAGCGAGTGGAAGTGGAGAAGTGGAGTGATGCGAAAGGCTTTAGTATGGATTATAAAGCTGCAGGAAGTCACGGTAGTGGTACCATAAGGCATGTCACAATAGAATTTAGTGCTTGTAGGCATAATCGTATGAAGATTCTTCAGAAATTCTGACGAACTACTTTTTTCCTTACAACACGCAGATTCGAAATGTACGATCCAAGCAATGATCTAATCAGCAAATTGCTGATGAAGGTGTGGCGATCAAAAGAAAGCAAAGTCGAAGTATCTGTGGCTGAAGAAACCCTTCAGCATACAGAGAGAAAGTCTACTCTGACAAGAATAATCCCTCAGAGCATGGATTACCGAATTGAAGCGCAATGTTGTTATATAAGTTGCCTCTGACTCAGGTGCTGACATTTCAGCTGGAACGTATATCTCGCCATCTTACAAGTTCTGAAGGAATTCGTTTTTAAACTGACACTGTCAAGATTTTCATGGTACGGCGGACATTGCATTCTCCCTGAGTGTGGAGGAGAATGATGCGACGTACACAGACTTGCTTCAGTAAAGAGGTTTCCCGGCACTGCACAGAGTATATCGAGCCTTTGATGACTTGAACATTTAGCTTGAAGCAGAAGCTGAATCCGGCATCTTACGAAGCGATATTGAAAGACCAGAAATATCGGCGTCCGATGATTTCAAAAAAGAATCCTAGGGGTGCTATTGAATGTCGTACATGGTCTAAGTGGAAGGGAGAGTAACATACCTACAATACTGGATGAGCGTGTAGCAAAGACCAAACTCTGCTGTAGGGAATTTCCGCTGGGGTCGTTACGACTTATCTTTAGTGACGATGAAGAATACTCCAATTTACCCCCAGGGCATGCGGAACGGGCTTAATAAGCTAATGTTCCTGCTGGGCCCTGAGGACCTGAAGCACCTCGTTGCACAAGGCATAAGCGCAGACGTCTTCTAGTTAAAAATACTCTGTTATAGCACTTACAGCAGAAGCTGCCAGCGTCAACTGTGTCGATGATGCCACCGTCGACGACGGATGATTCCTTCCGACCCAGGCCACTCATGGTGAGTAGACCTTCGAGGGTAAGGATGGAAAGGATCTCCTTCTCCATGTTAAAGAGGTCGAGACGGCTATGGCAGCCGTCATACCAAAACGAGCAACCGCGCGTGGCGCTAGCTATCTACAAGCTCGGGGGGCGATTGCGAGAATGGGCCCTAACGTGCGGTGCTTCGGTTGTAGCTGCGTGTCCTCCTGGAAGGAGCTGAAGCGTCAGCTTCTGAGAGTGTTCTCGCCGCCTAATCAGGCGTATCGCGTGAGATCGCGTTTTCTTGCTGCCTGACAAGGCACGAAGGATTTGGTGGATTGTCCAAGAGTTGAGACCTCTTATTGCCGGGCTGACAGCAGACTTCCTCCCCAAGGCGGTCGCAGTGACCTTTTTTATAGAAAGCCTCCGCACTAGCGTGGCGAGACTGGAAGTCTTCCGTGTGCATCCGTCTTCTTTTGAAGAAGCAGTGAACGTGGCATTGGATGCCGAATTCAACATCAAGTCTGCACGACTTGGTTCGAATGCACACCCTTAGAGCTCGTCGAGCGGGCCTGAGCCAATGGATTTCAACTATGCTGAGAAGGAGGAGGGAGAGCTCCAGGCTGCTAAGCAGCGTGTAAACACACGACGGTGTTCTATTCTTGAAGATACCCGTCACCTTTGGACGGTTGTCCTTTTGCGCAAGGTGCGTAAAGATTCGTCGAATCGACGTACCGCTACTTACCAGTCTGGTTCGTCGCGGGAAACAAGACCACCCAGTAGGTACGCCCTACTGGAGGTGAACTGAGTTTTGTTGACCCTCAAAGTGGTACAGGGCAGCAGGGCCCAGCCCCGAGGAACTGCGTGCTCTTGAACACGGAACGTGTGTGCAAGCCGGGCTTGCTCGTCGTAAAAGCTACCGTGAAGGGCTTTGTAAGCCATGGAAAAACCTTATCGACTCTGGTGCGTCGGGCAATTATGCTCGACGATCAACGATCGAAGGAAGTCAGCAGTATGCTAAGGCTGGTGACAACGTCAGTGTTCGCTTAGCGACGGGGGGTCTCTGTGGACTTCGGTGTCAAAATCCTTGACTTTGATAGCGTGAAACGCTGTCTAGTCTTGGACTTTGATGCAAGGCATGATCTTATCCTTGGTATGCAATGGTTGGAACACCATGAGCCATGGATTGATTGGAGGTTGAAGACCTTGCGCTACTCTCCTGGTGGAGCATTGGTGAGTCATGGACCCACTTCTGCTACGAAGCAGAAGCGCTGTTGGCGCGGGCACTGGTCCGAGACGGTCAATGTGCTAGATATCGGAGTATCCGAGCTGTCAAACCTCGAAGGTGTATTAGACAAGAGCCCCGAGCGTGGCTCCC